GATCCTCACACTAAGCAGGAGCCTCAGGTTGATAACGGGGTTGTCGAGTCGGAAGGCGACTCTAGCTAGGATTGTGAGGTGAGGCCATCGGTTCGAATGTGGACTTCCGAAAGTTGGATTTGTACGCGTACATTATGTCTTAGTAAGGAATTTTGAAAATTCATTAAGTCCTGTTTGTTGAAGTGGCCCTAGGATTGTGAGGATCTCGTTCAGGAAAGAGAAATCTATTGAATGATTAACCTGGGTACAAGGCGAGGCTATATATAGGCTCGATACAAAGGCAGTAACCCGGGTGTTACTAGAAGGTTCCGGGGGTCGCAAAGCGTCCCAAACGGGTCCTTCCCGAATTCGGTAGAAGGCAATTTGGTGGCACCCAAAAAGCCTAGAATTTGGTGGACTCAACCTAGTTTGGTGCCTATAACTATAATAAATATAGTAAAAGCAACGAACCTAGGAAATCAAGCAAAAGCAAGCAAAGCAACATAAAGCTAAGCTAGATAATACGTAATGAAGCAGTATCAAGCAAGCAAAGTCTACCAAAGCCGTCGCACTCTCACACGTCCCCCCCTCAAAGCTGGGTGGTGTGAGATACACGGCGTGCGTTGCCCACATAAGCTTCTGCAACCCAACTGTCCTTTGACGGGTCGTATGCCTTCCAGCGTATCAGGAACTTGAGCGGCTTGCCGCATTTGTGTCAATGAGCAAGCACTCGTTCCACCTCGTACTCTGGTTAATCCTGTACGAGAACAGATCGTGGTGGCGGTAGTTGCCATCCCGCGAACTGTCGGTTGGGGTCCTTGTAGGGCTTTAATAGCTCAACATGGAAAGCGTTGTGAAGCTTCTACGTAGTAGGTAAGCGCAAGCAGAATGTTACTGGTGTCACATGTGCCTCAACGTGAAAAGGACCACAGAATCGAGGCCGGAGCTTGGATGGTAGGTGAGACAGGTTTAATTTGTGCGTGTCAAGAAGCACCTGATCTCCGACTACTATGGTGTGATCACGTCGCTCGTGATCGGCATACTGCTTCTGGGAGTTCTGCATCGTGGTGAGACGTTGCTGTGTCTTCTCCCATAGCTGCTGCATGGTGGTGACAAAGTCACGTGCAACTTGGACGTGTGACGACGTGGTTGGCTGTTGTGGTGTAAGTGGTTCCTGCCCGTAACACAGGAAGCAATGAGTTTTCCCTGTGGCCGCATGTGACGCATTGTTGTAAGCAAAATCAAGAGTCAGTAACTGTAGATTCCACTGGTTGACGCCGTCTTTGCAAGCTGTGCGTAGTAACTGTTCAACCACCTGATTGAGTCGCTAAGTCTGTCCATTAGTATGGGGGTGGTACACTAAAGACATCGCAAGCTTTGTCCCCAACAAACCCATGAGTTCCCTCCAGAACTTACTAGTGAACTTTAAGTCGCTGTCTGAGATGAGTGTAGCGGCGATGCCACGGATAGTGATGATGCGGTCGAAGAAGAGGCGAGCAGTTGCTTCAGCTGTAGCTGTGGCATTGGTCGAGATCAAATGTCCCATTTTAGAAAACTTGTTGATCACTACGAGTATAGTGTCATGCTCTTGTGAGGTCGAAGGTAGCCTAGTGATAAAGTCTAGGCTGACGACTTGCCATGGCTGCTCTGGTACGGGTAGAGATTGAAGTAACCCTGCTTTTTTCTGCTTGCTACTCTTCATCCGCTAGCACGTGTCTCATGAGGTGACGAACTGCTGCGCGTCTGCTGCCATCCCGGGCCAGTAATAATATTTCGCTATCCCTGCTAACATCTTGTTGAGGAAATGAAAACGAGAAATGAATGAACTATGAATGAAGTGGGTACAAGTACTAACCCTAATTGGGTTGTACCCCCTATGGGATACCCCACTACAGCCTACACAAAAGCATAAGCTATAATGTTCTGACACACCCCCATGGGCAAAGTGGGGGAGAACAGGGGGTCACAAGACCAGTCAAGCAAAGCAAAGCAAAGCTCAGGGTGGACCACAAAGTCACCACGCATTCCGAGCACAAGTTCAAGGCCACAAGGCCAGTTCACATGCAGGAGCACACAAACACACACACACACACATATATATATATATATGTATAAGGCTAGACAAGCAAGAGCAGGTATATATATATATGTAACAGTACAAGTAAGGTTAAGAGGTGAGCAAGTGAGGCAAGAAAGGGAGAAGACCCAGCTGAATGCAGAAGCGCTGATGATCACAAGGCGGAAGTGCCCTGGTGAAAACATCAGCAGTGTTGGCCTCAGAGGCCACGTACGCAAGTCGCAACTAACCACGCTGCTGTAGCTCACGAGCAAGGAAGTAGCGGAGAGCAATGTGCTTTGTTCTGTGCTTCAGTCTCTGCTCTCGACACAAGGCCAGCATGGCCTTGTTGTCTACGTACAAGACTGGAGGAGAACGAGGCGGCTCTCCAAGGTCAGTCAGCAGGTAGGTGAGCCAGCGAAGCTCCTGTGCAGCCATGGCCCCAGCGTAGATCTCAGCCTCACAACTGGAGCCGAGAACAGCAGACGAGCGAGTAGCCCGCCACGAGACAGAGCCGGAACCAAGGCTTAAGGTGTAACCCTGTGACGACCGCTGCGTAGCCTGGTCGTCAACCCAAGAAGTGTCTGCGTGCCCAGTGAGGACCACTGGACTCCGCCCTCCAAGCACTAGCCCCATGCCTGACGTACTGCACAAGTAGCGCAACACCCTCTTCGCTGCAGCCATGTGCTCTGATCGGTGTCTCCCAGGAGCAACATAGCGTGCGAGAATGCTAAGAGGGTATGCAAGGTCATGTCGTCTGCAGATCATCAGGTACACGAGGCAGCCAACAAGCTCAAGATACGGGCCACTCGACTCTACCGACTCATCCGAAGGCAGAGCTGAGAGCGAGTGGCGAGTAGGCAAAGGAGTGGCCTGAGGCGAGGAGTACGTGAAGCCGAAGCGCTGAAGGACCTGCTGCACCATGCGTGACTGAGTCAGGGTAATGGTGCGGCGTGCTCTGTCCCGGGTGATCGGCAAGCCAAGGTAGCTACGCTGTTCACCCAGGTCTGTGCACGTGTGTCTCTTCTGCAGCTCAGACTTCACGTAGGCGAGTCCACCAGTGTCAGCTGTGGCAAAGACCAAGTCATCGACGTACACAAGGATGTAGAACGGCGGCAGAGAGGTGTCGGTGCGCAGAAACAGCGACGGGTCGGCAGTAGAAGGAGCAAACCCAAGAGCCGCAAGCGTAGTCGTTAGTGTGTCGTGCCACTCACGTGGCGCCTGGCGGAGACCGTAGACTGGACGCCGGAGACTCCACTGGGTACCAGGAGGGAACGACCCAGTGAAGCCAGGTGGGCAGCGCAGCCAGATCTCCTCGTGCAGGCTGCCCTGCAAGAAAGCTGTGCTGAAGTCGAGAGAGTGCAGCTCGTAGTCACAGTGAGCAGCAACGTGCAGCAGTACCCGAAGAGTGGTCATCTTCGGGGTGGGAGAGAAGGTCTGAAAGTAGTCAACTCCCTGCCGCTGACTGAAGCCACAAGCCACGTACCGTGCCTTGAAGACAGGCGGAGAACCCGACGGCCGCTTCACCCTGAAGATCCACATGCCACTGACGATGTTCGCCCCAGGCGGGGGAACCTCGTCAACGTAGGTGCCTATGGACTTCCAGGAAGCCATCTCTGTACCCATAGCTGCCTACCACTGAGAAAAGTAGGGACCCTCTATCGCCTCCGCGTAAGAGTGCGGAGTCGGGATATCAAGTGCATCCGGGTGTCCCTCAGGGGTAAGCAGTACGGACACGAGATGAGGTGAAGCACAGCCAGATACTGGAACTCCTCTTGCTTGTCCTCAAGGACGTCCGTGCCAAGGGCACACTCACCCCCGACGGACGGAGGACAGACAGACTCAGACTCAGCGACAAGACTAGCAGCGTAGTCAAGGCGATAGCGAGTAGCAAAGTCGACGAGCTCAGCAACTAGGGCAGACGCAGCAGTGGACTCGAAGGAAGGGTCAGTGACGACAGTAGCAAGGAGACGCATGATAGTAGGACTGGCAACACGAAGAGAGTTCGACTCCGGATTGGCAAGAGCAGGAAGAGAGGACTCAGGAGGAGAAGGCAAAGGGGCACGCAGAGGATCAGTGGACGGACGCAGAGACATCCCGTGCTTGCCAGGGACAGGAGGAGGACGCTGACGCGAACCTCGACCACCAGTGCGGGCAGCACGGATAGGCGACGCAAGGCGAGACGCAGGCTCACGACGCTCAGCAAGACCTCCAGTAGGACCAGTGTAGGGAGAAGGAGGAGGCAAAGGGGAGGCAGGCTCTAACTGTAACTGCGACGGTACAGGCTGTGGACACTCTAAAGAAGGAGGAGGACCAGTAGGAGGCGGAAGACCAAGAACCTGCTGCAGGAGTGGAACAAAGTACGGTCGAGGCCGCGCGGCGACGCCAGACACAGCATGGACAACACCAGTACCCCTAGCAGGAGCACCCGCTCCAGCAGCACCTCCAGCAGCTCCAGAACCTCCAGCAGCACCAGGAGTACCCCCAGCAGGACCACAAGTAGTAGTCTCAGCGCCAACACCCTCAGCAGCACCAGCTCCAGTCATACCCGCAGGCCCAGCAGCTCCAGTACTCCCAATACAAGCACCAGCACCCTCATGAGCCGAAGAACCTCCCGCTCCAGCAGCACGCCTCCAGCGCCGGGCAAACCACTCGCGAAGCTCGTGTGGAGAGAGAGGCTCCCGCCAAGACGAAGCACCCGGAGAACCTCCAGGCGCCACACAAACAGGTCCAGCTCCCTCGGGCTTCACACCTCCAGGCGTAGCACTCGCAGGCACAGCACCCCCAGGCTCAGCACCCCCAGGCTCAGCACCCCCAAGCTCAGCACCCCCAGGCTCATCACCCTTAGTCTCAGCACCCCCAGGCTCTGCACCCCCAGGAGTAGCACCCGCACGCTCATCACCCCCAGGCTCTGTACCCCCAGCAGCACCAGAGTCACCAGTAACCTCGACAGGCTCGACTGCGTCTACCTGGGACACACCTGAAGGGGCAGGAGCCTGAGGGGGGAGGGGGTCTACCGGGGGGGGACCTGGTACAAGGAAGAGTGGGGGCGGGGGGAGGGACGGAGTGCGGTAGGGGAAGAGGTGGTAGTAGGGGACCGACTCATCAAACGTGACGTCCTGAGAGGACAGAACACGCATAGGGTGGGGTGGTAGAACTGCCACCCGGGCGCGTCAGGGGGGAACCTCAGGAAGACGCAAGGAGCAGCACGAGGGGACAGCTTGTCCGCAGACAAGTCGCGGACAAATGCCCGAGATCCCCAGACACGGAACGCAGACGCATCGCCAACCTTCCCCGTCCACAGCAATGCTGGGGAGGTCTCCGGCCTTGAGACTCTGGGGTGAAGGTTGATCTGATGCGCCGCGTACCTCTCCGTAAACGGCCACAGAAAATGGGGGGCAGCCGCATGCATCACTGACGTACGAGCAACGTCCATGACCATGCCAATGCGGGGAAGACCAGAGACAAGGGGAAGGAGGGACCGGGGAAGACCAGAGACAAGGACACGGGACGCCATGCCTCGGAGACGAGGCAGGGAGGGGTGACCAAGGCGGTGGTGCCAAAGGAGAGTCTCGTGAGACAGGAGACGACACGAGCAGGGGGCAGACTCAGGACCAGACCTGGACGCTGCAGCAAACACCTGACCCGACGCAACTACCCTACCAGACTCAGCAACTGGAGGAGACGCAGTGGTCAGTGTGTACAGGCTCGACCCCGGCAGACGTGTAAACGTAGCCAAGTGTCGGCCTGTCCGAGCCTCTGTGCAGTGCGTCACTCGCTGACGCGCAGGAGTGAACTGGTGCACTCCCCCATCCTGTAGGTCAGCACCACTCGCCAAGTTCGTAGACAACGAGGGGAGGTAGAGACCAGACAGGGTGCCAGAGGGAGCCGCCGGACACGGGAGGACTGTGGAGAAGTGAGATAGGACAGGACCCCCAGAGGGGTCAGCCTGAGACACCGCAACCAGCCGACTAAGCGGCGTAAGTGTGGTGTGGTCCCGAAAGAAGGAGCGAGAAGCCCCTGAGTCAAGGGTGAAGGTGAGGGAGGCCGAAGCCGACGCAGTACCTAAGAGCGCAGACTCACCAGTACCTCAAGCAGCAGCGTCGCAAGCACCTAGGGCAGCAGCCTCACCAGTACCTAGAGCAGCAGTCTCAATGCCTGGATCGGGCGGGAAACACCGGTAACAGTCACCCTCATCACTAATAGTCACAGCATACATGGCAGAAAGAATGGCATCAAAATCAAGATCATAGATGGCAACTCCCGCCAGAGACAGCTCGCCCCAGCGAGGGACCTCTGTGGCCTTAGGGAACTGGTGACGCCACGCGTCCGTCAGGCGGCCAAAGTAGCGGTGGGTGGGGTGCGCACCCCCACACTGCTCACCCGCACGGTCGCCGGTGCGAAGGACGTAGGTGCACGGACCAAAACCCCCACCCCGCTGGCGTGCAATGTACCACTCACGGAGCTCCTGAGGGGACAGGGTCTCACGACCGCGCTGCTGCTGCTGGCGCGGACCACCACCGACGCAAGTCCTCTGCGTAGACCCGCGACCAGCTCCACCGCCACCTCCGCCGCCTTCGCCGCCTCCGCCACCACCGCCGCCTCCGCTACCACCGTCGCCTCCGCTCCCTCCGCCACTGCCGCCGCCTCCGCCTCCACTGCTGCCACCGGTACCCCCACCTCCTCCACCACTCCCTCCACCACCCCCACTCCCTCCGCCGCCTCCACTGCCACCTCCACCGCCCCCGCCATCTTCTCCAGCGCCCTTGCCCCCCTTGCCCTTGCCTGTGCGGCGCTTCCCCGAAGGGGCAGACGCAGCACCGACCGACTCAAAACCAACGAGGTCGGCCGCAGCAGCAGAAGCAACAAAGGGCAAGAGGGGGGAGGGAGAACACCCCTCAAAGACAGGGGTGCGGGGGTCACCACGAGAGGCTCCTACAGCGACTATGCTCTTCTCCGCCGCTGGAGGGCCTTCTCGAGGAGGTCAATGGTGAGAGTGGTGGGGCACACTGCGAGGAAGTGGTCCCTGACTACGCGAAGGGAGTCAGGGAGTCGGGTGACTATGTAGTAGAGGGTGATGTACATGGGGGGGGGGGGTGTTCTTGGCGCAGAAGTCAGCAGGAAGCGCAGCGCGGTAGCGAGTGTCACTAGTGCGGAGGTGCGTAATGAGGTCAGCGACTGTGGGAAAGGCAGCAAGGTCAGGGAAGAGGTTCGGTAGCATGAGACGGCTCAGTGCAGTAGTGGCAGGGGAGGAGTAGCGTGCAACTACAGCGTCGTACAAGGTCTGAGCACTCTTGTACTGACTAAAGTGCGCACGCTCGGAGGTAGGGAGGTGGCGACGCACAGCAAGACGTCCAGCAGGGTCGCGCGTGGCCCACTGGGAGCGAACAGTGGCGTCAGCATCAGCAGCAGGGGCAGGAGAGGCGCCAGAGGCGAGGGCAAAGAGAGAGAGACCGTTTGCCCTATCGCACTATAAGAACAGCTGCAGGTCATCTACCCATACGTCAAAGTCAATGGCTCGACCCTTAGCGTCAAAAGCGAGGACACTAGGGGTAGCCATGACAGCAGTGGACTAGCAGTGCAAACAGTAGGGTGAGGGCAGTGCAGTGAAAGAGGCGCTGTGCTTACCGGACGGGGCAGCTCGGGCGGCTCGGAAGTAGGGCGGCTCGGCGGCTCGGCTACTGGGCGGCTGGGTTGCTCTGTTGCAATGCGGCTCTGCGGCCCGGCGGCTCGACTGTACTTCGGCTCGGCTGCTGGGCGGCTCGGCGGCTCGGCTGTCCGGCTGCTCGGTTGCCCGGGCGGCTCGGCGGTGCTGCTGCAGGGCGGCGCGGTGGTCGGCTGCTCGGCTGGGTGAGGCGGCTCGGGCAGCTCGGGTGGCGGGCGGCGCTGCAGCAGGGGACGGGGCCGCAGGTCAGGACGGCGGGGCCGGAAGTGAAAGCGGCGGGGCCGCAGGTGAGAGCGGCGGGGCCGCCGGTGAGAGCAGCGGGGCCGCTGGTGAGAGCGGCGGGGCCGCCGGTGAGAGTGGCAGGGCCGCCGGTGAGAGCGGCGGGGCCGCTGGTGAGAGCGGCGGGGCCGCAGGTGAGAGCGGCGGGGCCGCAGGTGATAGCGGCGGGGCCGCAGGTGAGATCGGCGGGGCCACAGGTGAGGGCGGCGGGGCCGCAGGTGAGGGCGGCGGGGCCGCAGTTGAGGGCGGCGGGGCCGCAGTTGAGGGCGGCGGGGCCACAGGTAAGGGCGGCGGGGCCGCAGTTGAGGGTGGCGGGGCCGCAGGTAAGGGCGGCGGGGCTGCAGGTAAGGGCGACGGGCCGCAGGAAGGGCGGCGGGCCGCAGGTGAGGACGGCGGGGCCGTTTAAAGGGACGGCGGGGCCGTGAGAAGGGCGGCGACGGGCCGTTGTTAGGGCGGCGACGGGCCGCTGCAAGGGCGGCGACAAAACTGCTGGTGAAAGGGCGGCGGATCGGGGCCGCAAGGGCGGTTGATTGGGGCCGCGAGAGGCCGCTAGGGCGGCATGACGCGGCCGTTAGGGCGGCGCGACGCGACCGTAAGGGCGGCGCGACGGGCCGCTAAGGGCGACGTGACGGGCCGCTAAGGGTGACGCGACAGGGCCGCTAAGGAGGGCGCGACCCTAAGCGCGCTTCGGGCAGGGGCAGGACGCGCCCCGGGCAGGAAAAAAAAGAATTGGTGGGCCCTAGGAGCAGTTCACACGAGGGAACCTGCTCGATACCATGAGGAAATGAAAACGAGAAATGAATGAACTATGAATGAAGTAGGTACAAGTACTAACCCTAATTGGGTTGTACCCCCTATGGGATACCCCACTACAGCCTACACAAAAGCATAAGCTATAATGTTCTGACACTCGTTGCTCCAGGAATGTCCCATGTATGCTACGTCATGAAAGTCCTCCAGTAAGATCTGTCGGAGCGGGGCATAGTTTGGTACCCAAGTCTTTCATATTCCCTTTCTTACAACTATGTCATTCTCCCACTGTAACAGCTCTGCTGTAGCGATCTCTGCGTCCACGGAGAACCCATGTTGGAATAGACCCTTTAGCCGAGGGTTCATCCCGTCGAGCTGGATGCCTGCTACGTGACCGGGGCGGCTCAACGCGTCTGCCTTGTTGTGTAGCCCAGGTTTGTAGACGATGTCGTAATGGAAGCGGGTCTCCAAGAAGTCCACCCACCGCACCTGTCGTCGTGAGAGTGTCGGGTGCAAGTTCAGGTATTTGAGGCTACAGTGGTTAGTGTAAAATGTAGTCTTGGCTCCCTCTATATAACACCTCCACGCCTTGAAGGCTGTGACTATTGCTAAGGCTTCCTTGTCATGAATTGGGTAGTTCAGTTCTGCTCCGTGTAGCTAAGGCGATGGGCTGCATCAGTACTGCTCCGATTGCCTGGTAACTAGCGTCTGCTTCCACCACGTAGTCCTTGTCTGGATCCAGTAGGATGAGTATTGGCGTCGTAGTCAGTGCTATGTATAGCTGCTCCATGGCTTGTTGTTGAGGAGTATCTCATTTGTAGGGCGTATCCTTTTCCAGTAGGTTGGTCAGTGGCGCTGCTATCTTAGCATACTGCGGCATAAACCTGTTGTAGTAGTTGATGAAGCCTAGAAACTGCTGCAACTCCTTCACGTTCTCCGGCACTTTCCAAGACTTGACGGCTTCGATCTTCCGCGGGTCCACGTGTACGCCCTCCGCACTCACCATGTGTTCGAAAAACTGCACTTTCTTCAGGGCGAAGTCGCTTTTCGACTGCTTCACGTAGAACTTGTTCTCCCGCAAGATCTCAAACCCTTTCCACAGATGCTCCACATGCTCCTTCATATTTTTGGAGTAGATCAGTATGTCTTCTAGGTACACTACCATGCACTCATCCAGCAGGGGCCGTAGGATGTGGTCCATATCCGCCTGAAAAGCCGCCGGTGCGTTGCAGAGTCCGAAATGCATCACTAAGTATTCGTAGGAGCCGTATTTTGTACGGAACGCCGTCTTGTGAATCGAGTTGTCCGCCATCTTGATCTGCCAGTAACCCAACTATAGGTCCAGCTTCGAAAACACCGTCGCACAACGTAGTTGGTCTAGAAGATCGTCTATGCGCGGTATGGGAAATTTGTTTTTACTGTCTGTTTGTCCAGTGCACGGTAGTCGATGCATATTTGTAAACTACCGTCTGGCTTTGGAGTGAAGATAAGTGATGGCCGTAGGGAGAGGTGGATGGGCGGATCAATTACTTGTCCAGTAGATATTCAATTTGTTTTCATGTCTGTTAGTTCGGTCGGACTCAGTCGGTATGGTGCACGCGAGACGGGTTTCGCACCTGGTTCTTCCACGATCTCGTGCTCGTGGGTTCGCGCTGAAGAGGGTAGAGCTGTATCTCCGACAGCTGTCACCGAATATGCACGGTTGTGCATATAAGGTGCCAGAATCATGGTGGTGTAGTGGAGGTGTAGCTATGTTGTGTTTGCAAATTCGAGGATAGGTAGGTGGGAGCTGGGAAATTGACGCGAAGTTGGTAGGAGAGCACCTTGGGTGAAAACCTTGCAACCAATGAGAACGAACCAACCCAGGCTCGAGCCGCACATTGAGAAATGCACGGTTCGAGCCAGGGTCAGGTAAGTTCATTCTCACACACACCTCTGATGCTTTCTGGTTGTTATCCTTTCGTATAGTGGACTATTGTCACCTTACCAGAGCAGGCAGGTGGCACACCACTCAGGGAGGACCTTAGAGGTGAGAGTTCGGTCACTTTCAATGAGAGTGGCTGAGGCAACCGAAGGAGCTAAGGGACGAAGAGCATGAGGACTAAGGCAGATGATGAGGGTAGAGCTGTATCTCCGACAGCGGGCAGGGCAGGGGCAGCGAAGAACGGGCTGCCCACGGGCCTGGCACAGCCTCCCGAACCGCGCGCAGGCGGCCCGAGCCGCGCACGGGCCTGGCGCAGCCCGTACGGGCCGCGCGCGGGCCTGGCGCAGCCCGTACAGGCCGCGCGCGGGCCTGGCGCAGCCCGTACGGGCCGCGCGCAGGCTGTACGGGCCGCGCGTAGGCCACGACGGGCGACGGGGGGCGACGCGCGGGTCCCCATCGCCCGTCGCAGCGCCTCCCGGGAGCGACGCGCAGCGTGACGGGGCAGAAACCCGCCGCGCCTCGGGGCGCACGGCGGGCAGAAAACCGCCGCGCGCCTCGGGGCACACGGCGGGCTGAAAACCCTAATTTCGATGCTGCGCACCACGGGGCGCACGGGGGACAGGGAGTAGCAGTAGCAGCGGAAGCAGTGAAGTGGTGGGGCCCACAGGCCAGGGGCATGTAGCTCTGATACCATGAGAAGAAACGAGGAATGTTCGGTAGGTGCCATAGCTAGGAAAGCCCTAGCTAGGGCAAGAAAGAGTTTAGGCAAAGAGAGGATTCACTAGCAAGAATGAGGATACAAATAGCAAACCCTAGAAGGGTTGTACTCGCTATAGAGCACCCCACTACAGGCTAGAGCATAACATTCTGACAGTCACCACGTCCGACTTGGTGTTCTACGAGGACATATCGCTGGAGGTGTGTAAGTCGGAACACGGTCCGGCACCGGGACGGACGCCAACCACCCCGCCGACAGACACTTGGACAGCGACGCTCCCTTTTCTCGACAAGGTCGGTGAGCCTGGTGCTGAGGACGTCGAATATGTCCCCTCTCCCTCCCCCTCCCATGACCCTCCCACCCTTTCACTTGTGGCTGACCTTCGTGGGCTTCCTCCTGTGTCGGCCCCCAGCGATGAGGGGAGCAGTGGGATGTCGCCTTCAGCGCCGGCTAAGAGCATCGCCGGTGGCCGACGTGATGAGCAGCAAGTCGACGTGGGAGGGAAGTCGACGTTAATAAGGAAGGGGCAGGCCGAGGAAGTGCAGCCGGCTGTGGTGAAGTCGGCATAGGGGGCAGCGGCAAGGCAGCAGCCGACAGGGAACAAGCAGCGGTGAAGCTGACCACGGGGCAGTCGGCAACCAGACAATCTGCAGAGGAGCCGACCACACGGGAGTAGCTGGCCGGTACGCCGACCGAGGTGCAGCAGGATGACGAGGACAGCAAAGCCGGTGACGAAAGAGGGCACGCCA